ATCCACTGTTCTTCCGTATTATCTACATGTTAATAATTAAAAATTCAGAAGAGCTGTATAAAGTTCCACAGCAGCCACTGGCAAAGGGTTTAAAGCCATAGAATCCATACCTTGTTGGAGGAAATGCAGCAAAACGACAGAAAGAAACAGTGTGAGAGTCATCTCAGTTGTGCTCTGCTGGTGGTGCTCCGTGCAGCTGGGAACGCCGGCTCCCCAGGCTGTGAGCAGTCCTAGTCCTCTCCCATGCACTGAATGAGAAGGAGCGAGTTGTTCAGCTTGATTCTTGTTCCTATATGAGGAAGTGTTTACTAAAGGTGTTGCACAATTTCAAGTCACAGAGTGTTACAGCAAGCGGAAGTTCCTGCTGGTGAGTTAATGTCACTCGAATTGTGATATATTGATTATTCCTTTGAAATAGGTTCCCTAGAAGTCTTCATCAGAGGGAGACTGGAGTGGTCCTAAAGTTCTCTTTTATAGTCTGACTGGTAAAAAGCTACAACAGTGGGTACCTTGCGAGGAATGGGAAGGTTTTCAAGAGGTTTAGGGTGAAACCGGTACATGGGGCTGGCATTAAAGATGCGTTTCAGTTCTTGCTGGTGACCCTTTAATCTGTGTCTGTGAATCATGCAGTGCAAACACTGAGTAGGTGCTTCTCTGCTCTTTCTGTATTAGTAATGTTTGCTTGAGGTTCGTGTGATAACATCTCAGTAAAAGGGGATGCAGACAAGTGAGCAATCAAGGTGGTATCTGTCAATTAATGTTCTAAAATCAGTGCTAGAAACTTACCACATGGCCACAGCCAGTTGTAATAACATAGTACTGCGTGCTGCTTAGGGCCACAGCTATCAATGTGGAGCTGTTTTATAGGTGTTTCACTTCTTATCTGTTAGAGTAGGTGTTACAGAGAGCATAGCCCTAGAAGGGATCATGCTGTGTACTTCAGTATATGAGTATAAATTTGTATTAGCAACACACACAACAGTTTTATATATTCATTTATTATAGTCATGTGTAAATAAGTAACTCTAGATAAATTTAGAGGAGAAGTTCCTCTGCCACAGCTAACAAATTCACACTTATATTAGAAGTACTTTTGGATAACTGTGGAGTATTGCACCCAGGCATGTTGCTTTGGCTTGGCTTGCTCTGAGGGATGTTGAGCTGCATGCACATAGAAACCCTTTGTGCAGCTTCTCTTGCCATTTAGCTCTTGACCTACAGGCTTTGTGATTTATGGAGCAGTTATTCCAGTCTGTTGGAGGCTGTGCTCTGCTGTGGAGCAGCACAATGTTGTTACAGGGATATGGAAGTGTAAAATGTTCCTTCGCAGGAGTGAAGTGTAGACAAGGCACATTGGCCTCAGAGCCTGCTCTGAGATGTGCTAGTGCAACCACTGTGATCTTCACGAGTAATGCTGGGTTAGAACAGACTCTGCAAGTGTTTGAAAGCCTCTGGAGGAGGATTGAGTGGCAGGAAGAGGACCTGAGAGGGGAAAGGGGCATCTGTCTGCGGAGTGCTGATAACGACCCTCAAACATGGGTATGTTGGGCTGCATCCCCAGAGCATGAGCAGCAGGTCAAGGGAAGGGACCTCTGCTGTGCTTTGAGGAGACCCCTCCTGCAGTCCTGCTCTGGGGCCTTCCAGTGACTAATGCTGGAGAGAAGGGCTTTGGACAAGGACCTGTAGGGACAGGACAAGGGGAATGGCTTGAACCTGCCAGAGGGGAGATTGAGGGGAGTTCTTGGGCAGAAGCTCTTCCCTGTGAGGGTGCTGAGGCGCTGGCACAGGGTGCCCAGAGAAGCTGTGGCTGCCCCATCCCTGGCAGTGTTCAAGGCCAGGTTGGACACAGGGGCTTGGAGCAACCTGCTCTAGTGGAAGGTGTCCCTGCCCGTGGCAGGGGTTGGAGCTGGAGAAGCTTTGGGGTTCCTTCCAGCACAAACCAGGCTGGAATTCTATGAAACCTCTTGTATCCTGTAGAGCTGGAACCCAGGAGTTCAGGTGAGCTGCAGCAATGTTGTCATAGCTCAGGGCAATATTAATCTCCCTCCTCTTATTAGAACAAGCCTCGTTTTAGCTATTACTGTGCTTTGACAAAGGACACCTTTCTAGATGGTTCTTCCATCTCTGAGTGCCTCAGGATGCGAGCCTTCCCAGGACAGAGCTGCAACCTAACCCTCTTGGGACAGGAATGTGGTTTTGGTAGCAGCTTCTTCTAGAGGGACACTCCAGCTTGGAGGGAGACAGGGTGAGCGTGCATTCTGTACGAGAGGTCACATACCATGGGAAACCGTGTTGCCATCCTGGCTTAGGAAAGAGCACTTCAGGCGAAGAACTCACAAAGCACCCTTGTGAAGGGTTTGGACATCTCCCTGCCAAGGTGTTTGTTCCGTCAAAGAGGACTCGTGTCATTATGTCGGTACCTTTTTAGTTCTAATATGATAAAGCTTAGTCTAAAAGGCAGACAATTTACTATTTGAAGTGTTGTATGGTTGGAAACAAGCAATGCAGTCTTGGACTAAGTCTTACAAAGACGATTAAGATAACTGAACAACTGGCTTTGAAACTGAGTGGCTGCAATCCAAGCATTAATCTCAGCTCATTCTCTCTGCGTGACGCACTTGAAAACCATGCGCTGACCCTACCAGTCTCCTAAACTAATGTTCTTATTAAGCTGTGCTTTCATACAGCAAAGGATGGAGAGTTACTTTATGAATAGATGCCACATACCAACCGAGAGCTGGCACTAAGAGGAGAACGTGATGTGGTGAAGGTCTTGGATAGACTTGAAAGGGAACTGGGTGTCATTTCCTTCTGCGACTTGAGAAGCAGTTGGTGTTTCTGCCCTTGCTTCAGTGATTCTGTAACAGTCTGATGGTGGCTTCTTCCCCCGGAGGTGGTCAGGAGGGTACCTGACAGGAAAACTGCTTCTGGCTCTTTGTAACCCCTTTACAATTGTGCAATGTCTTAGTGAGCATTTCTCATGCTCGTGGCAGGGTAAAACTGGATGATGAGATTGTCTCAGCATTTAGTAACTTCAACATCAGTGTTTTTAACTCAAGTGTGATCTGCTCAATGAAAAGAAGGGAGCAGTAGAGGGTGAAAGTCACCACTACACTGAGGGTCTGCACAAATACTGAGGTTAAACTGAGTCTCAAAAGTGAAATGATTGTTGTGTGCGGGGCACTAGACTGAGCTCAGAAAAAAACAGGGTTTGAAGCACTTCTCTGCTTCTGCCTTGTCCTAAAGTCCACTTTGAACCGGGTTTGCAAAGGTACTAATTCACCTAAGAGGGATTGTCAGGAGTGTGTAAACAACAGGTATGTTTCTCCTGCGCTTCAATAGATACATGTAAGGACACCCATAGAACAGACAGAGATAAGCAGTTGAAAGAGATAATTTAGTTCTTCCATCTATCTCTGTTTCTTCCCTTCTGCATTCCCCCGTCTGACCCTGGGACAAACAGCTCAGCAGCTCTGCCTCTTAGCTCAGCATCCACATCCTGTTCCTCCTGGGAGCAAGTTCAGAGAAAGAATGTGGTATCCCACACACCACAGCCACTAGGCCAAGCATGGGTCCCTTGGTTCAGCTCACAGCAACCTGCCCTCCGCCTTCCTTCGTTTTCTTCTCCCAAGCTTCAACCAAGCCAACCTGTAGGTTATTTTTCTCTGATACACAAACAGAACCATGTGGCTTTTGCCCTGTGTTCCCGAGTTCCAGCCCTATGCTCCTCATTGCTTCCTCTGTCTATTCGCAGCTGCATTCCAGTCTCCCCACAACCTGCCTCTCCGTGCCAGCTCCAGCCCTTCCCCTCCATTTCCAGGCCTGATCCAAAACCCATTGAAGTCAACAGAAGACCTTCTATTGCCTTCCAGGCCCCTTGGATCAGCTCTACAGTTCCTCTTAAAAACCTGCTCTTTGCATAAAGCTTTTTCTTGTGCTTGCCTCTGTTGTCTCATACATTCCCAAAGTTGGTCATCCTGCTTTTCCTCAGCTACCAGTCTTCAGTGTTTTGTCCTTATTTTCTGGGTTCCTGTTGAAGGCTATCGTCAGATCACTGCTTTATGCCTATTTAGAGTGTCTGGAAAAGTTATTTCCCTTCTTGCCACTATTTACCTGCTCCTCGGCTTATGTGCAGCACTTGGCTACAGTTCATACAGGATATAACGTAAAGTAAAATGCTTTCGACTCAACTGTGGTTGAAATTCACTTAGCAAGCACCAGCCAAGTTATTTTTGGTGTGGCTTTAGGCAGATCACAGACAGTCATCTGATTTTGACTAATGAAACCTCATTACAAACTACTTTTGTTTGTCACACTTTCTTGCCTTGGAGAAGATTGTAGACATATATGGTATGTTACAAGCGTGTTCTTCCTTCCCTTTTCTTCCAAATGTAACACAAGAAATGGTTGCTTCATCTTCTTTCTGTATCAATCTTTATTAGCTGCATTTTGCTTCATTCTCCTGCACCAATATCACGTAGTCTATAGAGAAGCAATGTCACGCAGGCTGAAGGTGCTTGAAGGTCTTATAGGTGCTTGTAGATACTGGAGGTACAGACCTTTGACATATTTCTTAAGAACTTCTCATAACTTCTCAGTGTGATTAAGGTGGTTTTTTGAAGGTCCATGCTTCTCAGAAAACACATTTCTGGCTGTGCCATGTGTTGTGCAATTGTGTGCACACGTACAAGCTGTTTAATGTTCTCCATCTGCACAGCAGCAGTGACAATGCAGATCATTGTGAATTAAGGGCTGGGGGCTTAGTTCCCCTTTAAGGTGTTGCTTATTGTATTGTTTGCACTTGTATGTGAGGTCTGGCTCGATTTTCCCAAGGGACCAGGGCATCCTGCGTGCTGTGACGTGGTGTCTAGCATGATTCTCTGCTGACTGGCATCCACCTGGGGCTCTGCTTGCTGTGCATTAGGGCTCAATCTCAGAGCAGGGGTTTAGGAGAGAGGAGGCCACAGGAACACCTACTGGGTTGTGTTAGAGCTGTGCAAGGCAGTGTGCATGCAGTGGATCCACATCTTAGACCTCCGTGAACTGAACCTCATCTCTGCCCATCCTCTCCCTCCTTCACCCCTGCATTGTCCATGGAAAGTCCTGCACCTGCCTGCCCTCCTGCTGTCCTGCCAGTTCTGTCACAATCCAGCCTTTCAGCT